CCCACGTCCCCCACGCCCCCTCCACGCCCCGCCTCAGCCCGCCCCCACGCGCCTCACGCCTCAGCCCGCCCCCACGTGCCCCACGCAGCTCAGGCCCCACCCCTCCCAGCTGCTTTATTCCTGGCCCGGCAAGGCCTGGCCTTCGCTGAGGTGGGCTTGAGGCTCCCTGTCTTTTCCTGGTCTGGCTGTGAGTAAACCTCTCCTTGCTTCTAAACCTCAGTTTGCTGTGCGTTGAGCAAAACGAACTTGGTTTGGTAACAGATTTGGAAGCCGGCCGGGAGGGAGTCCAGAGGAACCTTGGCCCGAGGGTCGTGGCCCCTCTTGGGTACCGGGAGCTGGTGGCCGAGCCTGAGCCTCGGGTCCCTTGGCTCCAGGGCCGTCTCTCAGTTCCCCACCAGGCACCCCGACCTGTGCTTGTTTCGTTTTGTGCCAGAAAAACGGTTTTGGGGTTTGGATAGGAAGACATCTTCGGGGTGAGTGATGTTAAAGTAACGCACCTGCGTCTCGAACGTTGGATGGTCCTGACCCGATGGGGGCTGGAGGCCCGGCTGGCGGGCGTTTGGGGGACAATAGGAAAGGTCGCGGCTGCTGAGGTACCGGGGTTGGAGGCTGGGGCTCTGGTTTCTGGTCTCATGTGTTCATGTCTGTCTGTGTCTGATTGTTTTGTTTTTAATCGCAGGGACCAGGTTCAGGAGAAAAGGGAACAAAGGAGAATGAAACAGGTTATTCTGCTGGCGGCCGCCTGAACCCAGGGAAGAGCCGGACCAAACGGAGACCCCCAGGAGGGACTCGGCAAAAGGTAGGAGGCCTCAAGGCCCCCCTCCTTGAATGCGGAGCCTGAGAGTGGGCCCCCCCCCAAATGTGGATATTGCAGGCAGGAGGGACGCTGGAAGAGTGCCCCATCCTGAGACTCTTGAAGGTAAGCAGGTGGCGCCTCAGGTGCCCCAGGTAACTGCTGATGCCGGTGACCAAGGATGATCGCTCCGAGTCCATTATTGTTTTCCATATGGGTGACGACGTGGCAGTGGGAGTCAAGGGTGGGGCTTATCAACACAGGTGGGGGGGGGAACTTGGTTTTAAATATCTGGCTTTCTAAACTTTGTTTTGAGACTGTTAGTAATAGGGGTGTGCGGAGAACCCTTGAGAAAACCTTTTCTCCGGCTGGGAAAGGACCATTGATAGCTTTCTGTACATGCGTGGTGGCCTCACTCCCCTTCTGGGATGAGATGGACTGAATTAAACGCCAGGGTTACCTTTGCACCTGGACGCTGAGTGGACATTAAAGCACCACCTGAGCAGAACTGCACGCTGCAGGCTCTATCACTCTAACCTCAAAAACAGCCTGCAGTGATTCCGGGAGCGATACCACAGAGGGTGAGTCTGGGGGATGGGCGGATGGGGGGTGCTGGGGAGAGCAGAGATGGCCACACCTGTACGGGCCAGGCTCTGCAGGGGACTAGACATTCCAAACTTAATGCAGTATCCAATAAAGTAGCAAGCAAAGCGTGGGGTGAACTTCTAACAGCCTCCCTGCGTTATGACCCAACATGCTCTTGCTGGTCACGTGGTGATTGACTGGTCCACAGCTGAATGTATGTTACGTGATTGAAGAGCAATTAACAAGTTGTAGGAATTCATCCCTAGCCCCTAACCATATTTTGCTACTGACTTTCTCCACAGACTCTTGTTGGGTTACCATCTTGGACTTGAAGGAGGTCTTTTTTGCACACGCTTGAGTTTTGAATCCCGACTTGTCTGCTTTCGCTGTTGGACAGTGCTTTCTCAGGGAGTTAAAAATTCTCACAATACTTGGAGAAATCCTGACGAGACCTGAGGGACCTTGAACTAAACAGGGGAGCCCTGCTCCGGGCTGTGGACAACGCCCTCATTACCAGTGAGACAAAGGACTTCTGAGACCAAGATACGGGTTTGACTTCCAACTTCTTGGCTGAAAGAGGCTGTCAGGTGTCCGAGAAAAAGGTAGATTCTCAGCCCTCTGTTAAATATTCTGGGGTTTTGAACTCAAGGACAGTAGGGCTGCTCCCTGCTGGGAGGGAAGCTCTAGCCAGGACTGCAGTTGCCATCGGGAGACAACTGTGGGATTCCTGGGAGCGACTGGGTGCTGCTACACCTGGACCCCCAAGTTTGGACTCATAGCAAAATCCTTTTTTTTTTTTTTTTTTGCGATACGCGGGCCTCTCACTGTTGTGGCCTCTCCCGTTGCAGAGCACAGGCTCCGGACGCGCAGGCGCAGCGGCCATGGCTCACGGGCCCAGCCACTCCGCGGCATGTGGGATCTTCCCGGACCGGGGCACGAACCCGTGTCCCCTGCATCGGCAGGCGGACTCTCAACCACTGCGCCACCAGGGTAAGCCCCGCAAAATCCTTTTAATGAAGCTTTTAAAGGCAGTTACACAGAAACCCTAGGCTGAAATCTTGAAGGATAAACATACAGGAGACCGGCTTCATCCCTGCAGGACGGGACGTTATGAGAAATGCGATGGGAAACCGCGACCAAGGTCATCCAAACCTTGCCTGGTTCCAGCCCCCGACACTGACTTCTTCCAGCGGCAGGTGAACCCCAACAGACCTTCAGCTGCTTTTCAGAAGCTGCGAGAAAGAAATCAAGGTGAGTGGGTTTGCTGCAGTGGTGGCTTTGGTCACATCAGGTACTTCAGAAGGCAATTTAAATAACTTGTTATAAGAAGGCTCTGTTCTCTTGTTAGTCCTTTGTTTCTAATCGCCCAGGCTTGGAAGGACTTCTACTTTGGTTGCGCTGGTAACCTATTAGGCTGATCACCTGATCCCTGTCTTTCCCTGGATCCCTAAAAATCCTAAATGTTAACCCTGGCTGGTCTTCTCTGTGCCCCTGAGGGGTATGTCTTTGCAGTTTCAATTACCAGTCTTGGTCCTGTGGCTACCTTGATGGCTGGTGTCTGGGTGGTATTTGTTTATTGGGAACAGTGTCAATGTCAAACCAGAAACAAGAAAACACTCAAATGAGTGCTTGACAGTTTGACTTCTCAAGCCCTTGTTGGATCTATGCCCCTTACGAGCAGGGAGTAGCCAGAGGCATCCTCACCCCTCTCCCTTGAGGTTGAGGAACGATGAGAAGACGGGGGTGCTGAACCTTGAACCGTGGCTTAAACGCACTCCACCTGCCGTCCCTGATGGAGGTTGTGAAGACTGGCGTGGCAGCCTAATCATTAGTAAGTGTTTGTCGGAGTTGTTCTCCAGGAATTGGAGTCAGCTGTGTCGAGTTAGGGCTGAGCCAGTTGAGGTGGGGTAGGACCACCGGCCCCTCAGCTGGGCCTGCGCCTGCATTGGAGACCTTGTGAACGTGCAGAGGCCTGGAGCCTAGTTACGCCTGTGCAGAAGGACGAGTACACACCTTTTTCCGATTGTGGCTGCCCACTTCGCCGTCCCATTAGCACCCCAGCGCCTTGCCTTCTGGGAGGCAGATCTGGGATTTGTTCTCCAGCTTCCTTGCTTGGCTGCCTTGCGGTTGAGCACTTTTTGCTGCAGACCTCGGCAGCTCAGCGTCTTGGCTGCTCTGCACCGGGCAGAGCGAACCTGGTTCAGCAACTGTGACTAATGGTGACATGTCACCTAGGAGGGTGCTCGAATGCACCATCTCCAGAAAGCCCCCGATGGGAAACCTGGTCCAGGTGAGCTCAGCACCCTCAGACGCTGGGCCTTCCCAGCTGGTTTGAAGACACAAGTAACTCGTTACCAGAAATAGCTAGTCTTTCAGTTGTTTAGGTCTCAGAACTCGGAGGCAACTCCTTCCTCCCAGGCCCGCAGTCCTCCCCTCCCTCCTGGCTAGCGCACTTCCTGAGTGGGGGACGAAAGCTGGAGAAGCCCAGGGCACTGGATCCGGGGGGTGGAGACCGCTGCCGCCAGGATGGACATCAGCTGGTCCCGTGGACCGGTCCAGCATCTCAGCTCCCAGGGAGGCGAGCCTGACCCGGAGCGAGGAGGTGACTGCCTGAGGTAAACATCTGGCTTTCGGCACAGAGGACTAGTAAACGGCTTTCCTAACGCCTAACCCTTCACGGCAGGTGAAGCTGGAGGGGGGAGGCTGACGCACCGCAGGCAGAGCTGTGGGCTGGAGGGAGGCCGTCCCAGGGGACAGAGGTCACCTGCTGAGGGAACCTCATCTGCGCTCAGCCCGCCTGGGGACCTGAGGCTTCTACGCATCCCCTCACCCTCGACACAGACTGGGCCCTGTCTGTCTGTCTGTCCCTGGGAGCACAGATACAACTCTGCGGTTGTGAGGGCCAGGCTCAGCTTGCAGGTGGAGGAACGAGCCGGAGGGAGGGCCAGCTACCCGTGGCCGCAAGGCCAGTCGTCACAGCTGAGACCCAGGCCTGGGGTGCTGGGCTGTGTCCCCACGCGCCGTCCTGTGTTGCGGGCTGAGCGGGTGTGCCCTTGGTGCAGCGGACAGAATGCTATTCTCAGCCCGGGGCTTCAACGCAGTAAGACCATGTTTGTGGATTTCATCAGCAGCTGTGACACAGGATTTCCATTCCCTGATTGTACAGGTTTTTTAAATTAGTTAATTTTTGGCCACATTGGGTCTTCCTCGCTGCGCGCCGGCTTTCTCTGGTTGTGGCGAGCGGGGTCTACTGTGCTTTGTGGTGCACGGGCTTCTCACTGCGGTGGCTTCTCGTTGTGGAGCACAGACTCTAGGTGTGTTGGCTTCAGTAGTTGTGGCACACAGGTTCAATAGTTGTGGCTCACAGCCTCCAGAGCCCAGGCTCAGTAGTTGTGGCACACGGGTTTAGTTGCTCTGCGGCATGTGGGATCTTCCCGGACCAGGTCTCGAACCCATGTTCCCCGCACTGCCAGGTGGATTCTTAACCACTGTGCCACCAGGGAAGTCTCTGATTGTACAGTTTTAAATGTAACGTAATAGAAACCACAGGTGTACGTATTTCAGTGTTTTCTGAGCTATGAGGAAGTGGGGTCACTTCACAAGACATAGCTCGCCTGTGCTGCCTCTTCAGAATGAAGATGCGACCTGCAGGCTCCCCTCCGGGGTGGGTCAGGATAAGACACTCAGGCTCTATGCAGGGAGCCGTGTTGTCACGTCCTGGCTGATCCTGGGGCGTTGTCGCATGACCCCCGGGCCAGAGCTGGAAAGGGGGTCTCACCCCAGCAAAGCCTCCGTCAGGGGAAGCTGCTCACCTTTAAAAGTGAGAAGTGGACCCCGTGCCATCAGAGCACAGAGTTCTCTGGAATTACCTGGGGCAGCAGGGGAGGAAGGTGGCCCAGGCCTCTGGGGTCTGGAGGGCTGGCCTGTGCAGCCCCTCCCGATCAACCTAAGGGGCCGACCTGCAGGATGGAGCCCTGAGGAACCAGGTACGAGGCAAACTCAGGGTCACTAACGCTTTTCCAAGAGATGGCAGTCTCTGAATGTGAAGGACAACGGCCGAGTCCCCCGACCATTGTGGGAAATGCAGTCGTTTGCAGGGCTGAGGAGAGGGCGGTGGGCAGCTGTGCCTCCTGCACGTGAGACCCCCGCCTGGTCCTGCACTGAGGGTAGGTGCTCCTTGAGTGGGACCCTGGGTGACTTTCCTGGCACTGGGTCAGATAGCACATCCTCCCGGGTAGCTGCCGCTCACGTTTCTGCTGTTCCCCACGGGCTCTGGCGACCACTGCTCTGTGCTCTCAGATGCTGCGTTTCTCACAAATCCGAGGTTCGTGGCAGTCCTGCGTTGAGCAAACCTGGTGCCGATTCTTCAACTGCATTTACTCACTTTGTCGTGTCTTAGTTATTCTTAGTGTTTCAAACTTTCATTAGTTGATGTGTGACAGTGATTTTATTGATTCTGATTTGGAAAACTCAGGTGCTGGTTAGTGTTTTTTAGCGATGAAGTGTTAAGGTGTATATAGGCTGTTCAGATGTAAGTCTGTATACATAACAGATTGAAACATAGTGTGAACAAGCTTTATATGCACCGGGACACCCACCAAGTCATGTGATTCGTGTTATTGTGATCAGTTTCCGGTGATGGAGAGATCTTGGATTCACATCTGAGGTCTGCCTGTCACACGCCCTGGGGGAGCCTGTGGAGCTCTGGGAACAGGACTGGGGCTCCAGGAACACTGTGTCCCCCTGCACCCTGTAGAAGGGACAGCCTGGACTAGTGTGACAGAAGTGACAAGTGGTCTGGAGCAGAGGAGGGTCACAGTCTCTCCTGGACCAAACTGGCTGGGCTTCTCTGAGCAGTTCCCAACTAGGCCCTGACCCTTCAGGCTTCAGCGTCTGGATTTTCATGGTTCATTTTAGCAAGATTCCTGTTGTGTCAGAGCTCCCCAGGCTCAACTTCTGACCGCCATCAACATCTGACTGGATCCCTCATCCGCCTTCCTCCCCTACTGAGGCCTCACTCTCCGGTCTGCCCTCAGCATGAATCCTGTACGTCGGTTCAGTGCTGTGATCGGAATGTGTATCCCCCAAGCTCCTGTCGAATCCTAATGCCTGACGTGATGGTGTTGGCCTTTGGGAGGTGATGATGTCATGAGGGTGGAGCCCCTGTGAATGGGATTAGTACCCTGATAAGAGCCCCCAGCGAGCCCCCAGCCCTTCCCCCATGTGAGGACATAGGGAGAAGACGCTGTCTGTGAACCAGGAAGAAGCCTCACCAGACGTTGAATCTGCCGTCGCCTTGATCCTGGACGTCCAGTCTCTGGGTGGTGAGGACTCGACTCGTGTTTAAGCCCACAGTCTGGTCCTGTTAGAGCAGCTCAGACAGACACCTCCACCCCTGCTGTTTCCTCTGACTTCCCGTTGGTGGCACCACCCTGCTCCCGGCTGTCACCCCCGCAGTGGGAGGTGAGTCTGACTTGTCCCCTATGTACAACCCCAGGGCAGGAATGAATCCCTCTCGCCTGGATCTTCTTCCGTCTTGACAAGTGTTGGGTGGGACAGCGACGGGACCTAAGGATAGAGGGGTGGCTGCCGTGCATCCTGTCATGCAGTGTCCTCATGTGTTTGGTCTCAGGACTGGACAACTCCTGACTTCACAGAGGAGAGTGTGGAGCTGGGATTTGGTGGGCTGCATCGATAGTTGTCTCGGTTTTCATTTATAGTAATCACTAAAATATAGTAAGCCCGTTACATACTAACAAAACATTTCCTGTTTTATGAGAACTGCTTTACCAAAAACAGCTCTCCACTGAGAAGAGTAAATTTTACATTTTTGTCATCTTATCCTCGACTGACAGAAGCGAGAAGTGTTAACACCTGTTTCTGAATTTGTTGGTCGTAACAGTACCAGTGCCTGGAACCCTGGCCTGTAACTGGGGGAACGTGAGTGCGGAGGGAATAATGCCCTGGGGCTGATGGGAACCCAACTGTGACCTCTGGGGCCCCAGGCCACCCCCGGGCAACTGCGGCGGCAGCCTGGCCGGCATGTGAGGTCTAGCTCCAACCCTGAGAGCAGGGCTGCTGGGGGACCTTCAGCCGAGGGCGGCTGTGTGCCCACTCTAGCACCAGGGTCGCTCTGCCGTGTGGGCCAGGCTGTAGGGAGCAGCGGGACGACGGCGGAGGCTGGGAAGCTGGGGAGACGTGGGTGGCGGTGACGGTGTGCCTTGCGGGTACATCTTGCGGGCAGAGCCAGTGGGGCCTGCTGACGGAGTGGATGTTCAGGAATCAAACAGTGGAATCGAGGACGATGCCAGGAGTTGTGACGTAAACAGGCAGTAAAGATGAAGCTGAAGGAAGACAGGCTGTCGAAGAGAAAATCAAAGCCTATTTGGGTTGAAGTGGAGCCCGACACCTGCCCAACACGGGGGACGAGATGTTCGAGGGAAGCTGGCTGTGCAGCCGGGGCAGAGGTAAAACCTGGGAGCCTGTGGGGAACAGATGTAGCTGAAAGCTGGGCTGGGGGCGCCCGTGGGGGGCACGATGGGAGAGGTTGGGAGATGGGGGAAAGCAGTGGGAGGACGGAAGGATGAAGACCGTCATGTTCAGGACCCCCAGGAGGAGCCTCACGAAGGGGGAGCGAGCGAGTGAACGCCGTCAGGGTCCAGTACCAGTGCCCATGGGGCGGGGCGGGGTGGCGGGAGGTGGTGAGGGAGCCAGGCCTGTCGATGAGGGGACAGAGGGCGCGGGGGGCTGCGTGTGTGGGAGATCCTTGCCGGGTGTTCCGAGGAGAGGGAAAGTGGCGGTTGGAGGAGTGAACTCCCGGGACCTCTCAGTGTCGGGAGCTGTCGCTGCGTTTGTGGGGTAACCTTCATAAAGCAGAAGAGGAAATGGTTAGGTGCAGGGAGAGGGCAGGGCGGCTGCTGAGAAAGGCCTGGACGGGCCCCTGGCGCCAGCGCGAAGAGGCCTTAGACGGGTGCGGACGGGGCCCTCGAGGCAGCGGGAGATGGTGAACTTGAAGGTGAGAATATCTGGATGTTCTCTTCGGTGCAGAGGCTCAGATCCCCCTCCCCGCCGCCTGGGCTCTGATCTCCCTCCCCGCCGCCTGGGCTCTGATCTCTGAGACCCTCCGGATACCCTCCTTTTACAGGGCCGACTTGATCTGCCTCTGACCGTGGTGGGTCCCAGCTCCTGCTCTGTCCTCCCCAAACCCCAGCCTGTATCCACACAGGTGCAGACTACTCCCGGGTGCACAGTAAACACTCGTGTACCCAGTAGCGTGTACACATGGTAAAACCTTTACCTCTGAGATCTTGTTTTTTGTGTCCTACCCATAAATACCCAGAAGCAGGATTTCAGGGTCGTGGGGCAGGTCTGTTAGCTTCCTGAGCAACCTCCCCAGTCTGACAGAAAGAGACCAGGTGATGCAGGAGGTGGACACCTGGAATGACCCCCAGGCTGGGCAGCTCCGTGACCCTGCTGGGCGGGGCCTGGGGGAAGCTGAGTGGGGAGGGTGGTGGGATGCAGGAGGGTGGGCCGTGGGGCTGTGTGTGGACGGAGCCACAGCTGCGGGTTGGGGAAGCCCGGATCCTGCAGGTCCTGGCTGCGTCCTGTTCTCTGCAGACACACGTGCACGGAGGCCTCCCGTTCTGCTCCGCGGGCAAGGATGCTGGCGACTGGGGCGGCCGGCCTGGGAACACGGCCACCTGCCCCTCCCCCAGCGAGGTGACCACACGCAGAGCTGGTGACTCCTGCCCTTCGCCCGCTGAGCGTTCTCTAGAGACACTTCTTCCACTGCTACTGCTGCGACAGATGCCGTCACCTCCGCGCTCAGTGCCTACTGAATGCGTACCGCGCAGCACGTGCTGCGGGACCTGGAGCAGGTCGTCCCAGGGGGCCCTGTAGCAGCCCGTGTCACAGGGAAGGGGGGACCCGGCGGAGGACTGTCTCTGGCTCCCGACATGGCCGGGGCTGGCCCCAGGTCCCTCGCTGGCCGGCTTCAGTTATAACGCCCACCGTGCTCGCCAGTCTGGGGGTGGCCTGGGCCGGGCGGGTCGTAGGCGCCTCCTCACAGCCCGGTGGGTGGGCGGGTGGCTGGCAGAGTGAAGGCCGGAGCTCTCAGGCCGCCCACCCCCTTCTCCTGGGCAGGCATACAGGGCCAGGAGACACACGTGGCCGTGCTTAGACCTCGTCCATCTCAGGAGCAGGGCCGGGGCCGGAGCCCAGGGGGCACGGACCTACCCGCTGTGCCACGTTAACGCTGGAGAAGGGTCACCTGCAGATGCTCAGGCTAGGCTGAGTCCTCATCTCTGAGAGGAACAGCCTGCGGCAGACCAGAACTGCCTCCCCTCCCAGGAAGAAGAGGCTGGAGAGACGGGAAGAAGACCCGGCAGCGCCAGGACAGCGGGGACTGCAGGTGACCTTGAATAGTGTAGGGGTGGGTCCCCTGCCCCGCCCTCACGGTCCTGTCTGCATAACCGCACTGAGGTGTAGCCAGCAGCGTTCCTTTCGGATATACAGTGCGGCGATCCCGAGCTTTGACATCATGTACATCGTGCTCCATGTACGGTTACTGTGCAGCATCGCCTGTGTTCCCCGTGTTGTGCAGTACATCCTTCAAGCTTACTGTATATGCAGTAGCTTGTACCTCTTGATCCCATCCCCCAGCATTACCCCGCGCCCTGCCTCTCCTCGCTGGGAACCACTAGTTCATTCTCTTGAGTGTTTTTTGTTCACGAGTTTTATTTTTTAGACTCCGCATTTAAGTGAGACTCATACGGTATGTTTTTCTCTAACTTCACTTAGCAAAATATCCTCTATTACATCCATGTGGTTGCAAAATATCCTCCACTACATGCATGTTGAATGAGGTTTGGTTTAATCTACCTCAGCCCCCAATTAAGATGGATAACAGGGCTATAGATAATATGAGGTTTAGGTTGACAGGTGGTGAGATGTGATACAGTACTGACGGGGGTGCAAGTTTTTGTCGTGTTAATAGCATTGAGCCTGCTATTAACGAGATGCACTGAGAGCTGGAATGGGGATGGGCCTGGTTTTATGGTTAGGGCTATTGTTGCTGCTGTTGGATTGAATATTTTGGTGATGGTTCATTGGCCGGAGTGCAAGTTAACGATAACTGCTATTATAAGTAGTATTGATGCGGCAGCCTGTGTTAGAAGATACTTAGTGGATACTTCTATAGCTTGTGGGTTAAATTTTTCTGTTACAATGGGAATAATGGCCAGTACATTTATTTTGAAGCTGATTCAGATTAATAATCAGTGGGAGCTGGTTATTACAGTTCCTGAGATAATGGTTAAGATGGTAATAAAGATGATGGGATTTATTAGTGCAGGAAAGGTATAAACCAACAATTTTGTAGGCCCAAGAGCTTATTTAGCTGATCTTATTATAGAATATGGTGTAATATGGAAGCACGAAGAATTCTGAATTCTGAAAGGTAGGTTCAATTTCTATGATCCTAAAAATAAGAGGATTTAAACCTGTATCATTTACTCTATCAAAGTCTTTTGTCAGACATATGTTTGTGGAGGGATGCTTGATATTATAATAGGTGATGAGATGGGTCATACGCATAGGGCTAGCGTTAGTGGTAGGAAATTTTTTCAGAGTTAAATGTGTTAATCATATCAGAGTCGAGGATAGGATGCTTGAGTTCATAGGAAGGAGACTGTTAATAGTAGGTTTTTTTAAAATTTATTTTTATTTTATTTATTTTTGGCTGTGTTGGGTCTTTGTTGCACACCGGCTTTCTCTAGTTGCGGTGCATGGGCTTCTCATTGCGGTGGCTTCTCTTGTTGTGGAGCACGGGCTCTAGAGTGCAGGCTCAGTAATTGTGGCGCATGGGCTTAGTTGCTCTGCGGCATGTGGGATCTTCCTGGACCAGGGCTCAAACCTGTGTCCCCTGCATTGGCAGGCGAATTCTTAACCACTGAGCTGCCAGGGAAACCCAGTAACAGTGTTTTGATGATAAAATTGGTTGTATAGAGTTCTGGTATGTATAGGTTGTGGAATGCTTCTAGGAGTAAGATTGTCGTGAAGATATTTATCATGATAACGTTGGCATATTCTGCTGGAAAAACACGGTGAATGGGCTTGCTGCATATTCTACATTGAAACCTGATGCAAGATCAAGATTCTCCTTCTGTCAGGTCCGAGGGATCTCAATTAGTTTCTGCTAGAATGGAAAGAAATATTGTAGCCAGTGGTCATGATGGGAAAATTATCATAATTGTTCTTGTGTTGTGATGAGGGTTGAAAGAGCGAAAGATCCATTTATTAGGAGAACCAGTGAAAGAATAATTGCTGGTGTTACTTCATATGTGAAATTGTGCTACTGCTCGTAAGGCCCCGATTAGTGTGTATTTTGAGTTGGAGGCCCATCGGGATCATGTGGAGTATACAGCCAGGCTTGATGTAGCTAGTATAAATAACACCCCAGGCGTCTATTAATGAAGGAGTAGGGGGACTCGTCTGGTTAGGGGTAGCTAGGATTGGGGCGATGATGAGTATGGAGATGGAGGATGTAGCTGGTAGTAGCCGTTCTTTGATGAATAACTTGACTGCATCTGCAATGGGTTGTAATAGGCCGTATGGTCCCACGATACTTGGCCCTTTTCGGAGTTGCATATAACCTAAAATTTTTCGTTCAGTTAGTGTTAGGTGTGCTATGGCTAAAAGAATAGGGATAATAGGCATTGAGATGTTGATTATAAGCATCTTGCTAGGGAGAGAATTTGAACCTCTGGTCATAAAGGTTTAAGTTTTACGCAATTACCGGGCTCTGCCGCCTTAACAAACCCTGGTCTAGGGTGGCTATTTTGTGTTTGTTAATTAAGTTAAGATTATATCATTAATTATTTTAAGGTGCTTCTGTGAAGTGGGCCTTATTTCTCTTGTACTTTCATACTGGAAGAAATATATAATAGGAACCGACCTGGATTACTCTGCTCTGAACTCAGATCATGTAGGACTTTTTTTTTTTTTTTTACCATCTTGATTGGAGTATAATTGCTTTACAATGGTGTGTTAGTTTCTGCTGTATAGCTATATGTATACATATATCCCCATATCTCCTCCCTCTTGCGTCTCCCTCCCACCCTCCATGTCCCACCCCTCTAGGTGGTCACAAAGCACTGAGCTGTCTCCCTGTGCTATGCGGCTGCTTCCCACTAGCCATCTATTTTCCATTTGGTAGTGTATATAAGTTCATGCCACTCTCTCACCCTTCCCCCTCCCCGTGTCCTCAAGTCCATTCTCTACGTCTGCGTCTTTATTCCTGTCCTGCCCCTAGGTTCTTCAGAACCACCTGATCCAACATCGAGGTCGTAAACCCTGTTGTTGATATGAACTCTGGAATAAGATTGTGCTGTTGTTTCTAGGGTAACTTGTTCCGTTGATCGGTTTTTGGATCAATAAGGGATACTTATGTTTTGACTGGTAAGTCTAGATTTTAATCACTCGGAGGCTTTTTTGTTCTCCGAGGTCACCCCAACCAAAATTGTTAACCCATATGAAATTTTGTTATCCCTTGGTGGTTTAATTATATATTTTTGGATTAACTAATTAAAGCTCCATAGGTTCTTCTTATTTTGTTATTCCTGCCTCTTCATGGGAAGGTCAATTTCACTGATTAAAAGTAAGAGACAGTAAAACCCTTGTGTGGCCATTCATACAAGTCCTTATTTAGAGAAATGATTATGCTACTTGGCACGGTCAGGATACTGCGGCCGTTTAACAGTTGTCACTGGGCAGGCAGTGCCTCTAATACTGGTTGTGCTAGAACTGATGTGTTTGGTAAACAGGCGGGGTTTGTGTTTGCCGAGTTCCTTTTACTTTTTTTAATCTTTCCTTTGGTGCATGCCTGTGTTATATTAACAGTGCAGTTAATAATTTAGTGTTGAGTTGTATTTATTTACTGTTAATTATCAGCATATTATTAGTTACTGATGTAAACTTACGTAAGGAGAAGTATTTCTTGTTACTCTTATTAAGAGTATTGCTTCTATAACTTAATAGATTGGTCCAGTAGTAAGACTAGGAGTTGTTTTGTTTATTGTTGGTATTGGGATATATTTATTGTTGAGCTTGAACGCCTTCTTAATTGGTGGCTGCTTTTATGCCAGCTGTGGTGTTTGTTTTTTACTCTCTGGTTATGGTCGTATCCATTTCTAAAAAGCTGTACCTTTTTATACTAACATTTAAAAATACATTAAAACTTATAACGGGGCTTCCCTGGTGGCGCAGTGGTTGAGAGTCTGCCTGCCGATGCAGGGGACAAGGGTTCGTGCCCTGGTCTGGGAAGATCCCACATGCCGTGGAGCGGCTGGGCCCGTGAGCCATGGCCGTTGAGCCTGTGCGTCCGGAGCCTGTGCTCCGCAACAGGAGAGGCCACAACAGTGAGAGGCCTGCGTACCGCAAAAACAAACAAACAAAAAAAGACACTTAAAACGGTTTTTAGTACTTTTTAAGGTTGAATTGAAATTCTTTTTTTGGACAACCAGCTGTCACCAGGCTCGTTAGACTTGTTAGCTCTACTTATGAATCTTCTCACTGTTTTGCCACATAGATGAGTTTGTTCTAATAAACTGTTCATAAGTAGCTCGTTTGGTTTTGGGTTATTTAAGTTCTCTTTGTTAACTTTTTGCTAGTTAAATCATTATGCAAAAGGTACAAGGGGTAAACTTTGCTTTCTATTACTTTTAATATTTCATCATTCCCTTACGGTACTTCCTCAATAGCGCCAGAGGGTAATTTAAATTCTATCTCCTGTACTTTAAGTGTTGAGTGAATGTTTAATCTGCTTATGCTAATATAATGGGAGGGGTGTTGGGCTAGCTGTAGTTCAAGGCATTCGTGGGATATGAAATCTCCTGGGTGGACAGGTCCTTATTTAAGCTTGCTTTGATTTATCCAGCACACTTTCCAGCTTGCTTACCTTGTTATGACCTGTCTCCTTGCATATGATTGGCATTTGCTGATAGATTAGAGGAAATTATTACACTTGAGTAGGATGGCGGGCGGTGTGTGCGTGCTTCATTGCCTTATTCAACTAAGCATTCTGTTCTTAATTTACTACTAAATGCTCCTTTGGTTTTTAAATTTCATAAAAAGTTTTGTGTGACGAAAATATGTTCTTGATACAGAAAATGTAGCCCATTTCTTCCCACCCCGTAGGTTACAACTTGACCTAATGTTTTTATGTGTAATAGTTATGCTTGCTTGTATGCCTTTAGGGTTCGCTGAAGATGGCGGTATATAGACTGAACTAGCAAGGGTTGGTGAGGTTTATCGGGGTTCACCGATTATAGAAGAGGCTCCTCTAGAGGGGTGTGGAGCAGCACCAAGTCCTTTGAGTTTAAGCTGTTGCCAGTAGTACTTTGGCGAATAATTTTGTTCTTGTAATTATGTGGGTTTAGGGCTAAGCATAGTGGGGTATCTAATCCCAGTTTGGGTGTTAGCTGCTGTGTTATCAGGAAATAGTAAAGTCGTCTTCATCTACTTTCATTTGAGTTATGGCTTAATTAAAACTTAACTTTATTTTGCATTACTCTTTAACACGCTTTATGCCGTATTTCTTATTATTTGAGTTAGTCTATGACCCTGGTGGCTAGCGTGAAATTTACCAACCCTAATTAATATAACTTAGTCGAACTTTCATTTATAGCTTAATTTTTACCATTGCTGTTTGCTGTGGGGTGTGGTTAAGCAAGGCGTTGTGGGCTGCTGGTGTTAGCGTGCTTGATGCCTGCCTCTCTTAATCTCAGTGGTTTAGAGGGCATTCTCACCGGGGCGTGGATGCTTGCATGTGTAATTTTATTAAAAACGAGAACGGCTGGGACCAAACCTATGTGTTTATGGAGTTAATGAACTCATCTAGGCATTTTCGGTGCCTTGCTTTAGGGTTTAAGCTACATTAAGAAGTTGACGTATGTGATGGATTAATATTTATATGATTATTTTATGTGGCTTATGTCAGATTTAGTATTAAAATTTTGATAAAAATGGCCACTAGATCTAGGGAGATGTCTGTTTCTATAAGTGGTGAATATCCAAGTAGTTTATTGGGACTGTTAATGACAGATTGGCTCTGCTATTGACCTCTACCAGGAGTAAATCCTGTGCTCCTGCAGCTCTCACTTTCAACACCCCCTGAAAGGAGGTCAAGGTGGAGAGCTGCAGCGAGGCTCTCTGTGCTGGGAGAAACTGGCAAAACAGGTCTTCAGGTAGTTAGATATTTTCTGGAGCCCATTTTATGAGCCCAATTCTTGTATCTCTTTATATCTAGAAAAGCACTAAGATCCTTCATGGCAACGTCTGCTCTTCGTGACTAGCAGAGTAACCTGCACAAGAGTAGCAGAAACCTCCAGTAAAAAGTATGTGCTTGATTGCAGGTATTCCCCCTGCACCAGAGTCACATATATACTGACCTTCCCCCTGCCTCTTGGGAGCAGTCTCTCAGAGCCATCTGGGATGCTGTCTTCCGGGCTGCAGTCCTCATTTTGTCCCAAATAAAACTTAACTCGCAACTCTCACGTGGTGCGTTTTTTAAAAGGTCAGCAGTGCGATTGGGTTATTTTCTCGTCCGTTTAATTTTGGGTAGGTGGTTAAACTGTACTTGCACACGTGCGTGTAATCTTATGTCCTGTAACCATTGACTGAACAGCAGCTTATGGTTGATGATGTTGGTAAATGATGTTCAATTAAGTCCAGTTACAATTTATTTGAGTTAAGGTCTCAGATGGCCATAGCTGAGTCCAAGCATCCCTTAAAAGTTAAAAAGTACCAAATGCATGTCACCAGTTATGTGTGAGCATGGGCTGATTAGTCATTAGTCCATCAAGATGTCTTGTTTAGGGCTTCCCTGGTGGTGCAGTGGTTGAGAGTCCGCCTGCCGATGCAGGGGACGCTGGTTTGTGTCCCGGTCCAGGAAGATTCCACATGCTGCAGAGCGGCTAGGCCCGTGAGCCATGGCCGCTGAGCCTGCGCGTCCGGAGCCTGTGCTTTGCAACGGGAGGGGCCACAACAGTGAGAGGCCCGTGTACCGCAAAAAAAAAAAAAAAAAAAAGTCTTGTTTAAGAGGAACGAATGGGCGATTTTAGGTGAGATGGTCCTGAAATAAGAACCAGGTGTCTGATAAAGTTCATCAATAGAAACCCGCAGAGATCACGGGCCTGGAGCGAGAAGAGGGACACCTGCCAAGTGGGTCGATGGTCTCACTCGGCCTGGTGATTAAGCTCGTGATCTATCGGATATGATATGCATGTTGACCTGAATTGATTTGACTTAACGTGCTATGTACGATTGACAATGTATATGTTCTATGTAATATCAATAATACAATTACATGCTTATAAGCACGGGGTAAATGTATGATTATACATAAAATGTATTATGTATGATATGGCATGTATGTATGTATTGATGTGGTGATGCAGATATGCACGAAGTACACACTAGTTTATTGTAAAATGAGGTCATTTTAATACTGAAATAGTACTCAATTTTGTAAATGTCCCATGACAAAAGTTTCAAGGAATAGTGTAAGTAGAATTTTAGCTTTGGGTGCTGATGGTGGAGCTGGAGCTACCTCCTCGAGTCTTAGAAGGAGATGTGTTGTTCTCCTTCTCTGGTTTATAAGACCAGGATGATGTATCTTCTACGAAGACTCTTCATTTCAGGCGATTGTTTTCCACAATACTGGTTACTGGCATTAGTGCTAGGATTAGAAAGAAGTATAAAATAGATGTTAGTTGTCCAGTGATAACGAAAGGATGCTCTACATGTTGTCCTCCAATTCATGTTAGTGTGACTAGGTCTGCCACTAGGATTCAGAGCAGGCATTGGCTAAGGCGTCAGAATATTATGCTTCATTGCTTGGATGTGTGGAGCATTGGGATAAATGCTAGGATTACGATAAAAAAGATTAGGGCTAGTATTCCTCCTAGTTTATTGGGGATTGATTGTAGGATTGTGTATGCAAATAGGAAGTACGTTCTTGTTTAACGTGAGGTGGTATATTGAGAGGATTTGCTGGGGTGTAGTTGTCGGGGTCTCCTAGTAAGTAGGGTGAGAATAAGACTAATACTATCAATGCTAGAACTAGTAATAAAGCACCTAAAATGTCATTAATTGTATAGTAGGGGTGAAATGGAATTTTGTCTATGTCAGATGGGATTCCTTTGGGGTTATTAGGTCCTGTTTCGTGAAGGAATAGTAGGTGGACGGCTGCTAGTGCTGTAGTGATGAATGGGAGGATAAAAGTGAGGGTGAAGAATTGTGTAAAGAGTTGCTTTGTCTACCGAGAAGCCGCCTCAGATCCATTCGACAAGGTTGTACCGATGTATGGGATTGCTGAGAGGAGGTTGGTAATAACTGTTGCTGCTCAAAACGGTATTTGTCCTCAGGGTAGTACATAGCCTATGAATGCTGTGGCTATCACTGTAAATAGGATAATACCGATCTTTCATGTTTCTAGAAAAGCACAGGACCCATAATATAGCCCACGTCCTACATGAATAAGTAGGCAAATAAAGAATACAGAAGTTCCGTTTGCATGTACATGCCGAATGATTCATCTCTGATTTACGGCAGATGGGTGTCACTGATCAGAAAGCAGTTATTGTGTCTGACGTGTGATGTATTGCTAGGAACAAGCCTGTTAAGATTTGTAAAATCAAAGATACCCAACAGGGAGCCAAAATGTCATCATGATGAAATGTTTGATGAGGCTGGAATATCAATGAATGCATTGTTGATGATTTTTATTAATGGGTGTGATTTTCGGATGTTGGTCACTAGTGTTCTTATAGTTGAATAACAACGATGATTTTGCATGTCATTGGCCATGGTTAGATTCCACGTAAGAATAATGATACAACGTATTTATTTTGAGTCCTTTGTGATTTTATGGGGTTTTCTTCAAAACCTTCCCCTGTCTCTGGAGGGCTTGGACTGACTATGGGTGGTGGTGCTGGTTGTGGGACTGTGTTGACTTTTGGTGGTTCATTTTTAGATTTAATGGTTTTTTCTTTTTTAAAAAAAGCAGGAAAATAGGATGTATTGGCACGCCCGAGTAAGGAGGGGACGGCGCCAAGGCCCTCCTGAGCGCAGGGCCCACCACGTGTCCAGGGGCCACGACTAGGGCTGTATTTTACCCCACAGCCATCCGGGATGAGCCATTTTTCTGCCACCATGTCATCAAATTCATCTGCGTTAAACTTAGGAAGTCCCCACTTCGTGGAGACGTAGATCTTCTGGAGGCCAGAGCACGTGGACTGGGCCCTGCAGAGGGCCTCAGTCACAAGCTCCTTGTCCTGTGCTTGGTGTGGATGTGCATGATGACTTGGCCATCGTGGACCCTGGCCACTGTGCTCTGGAGCTCTCCAAGGGCACCTTGCATGCCTGTCTGCAGCCTAGACTGGGGACAGCATTCCAGTCACGAGTGTCCACTGGAAAGGGCTGAATCCAGCGTCCCTGAGGGCAACCTGTACAGTCCACAGGCTGCACGTACCACCGAGGAGGTGCACACCGGGCCCCCACGGGGAAAAGAGCACAGTTGGCTTAACTGGCTGAAAATTAATGGTACTTTTGATTTATTTAGGGGGGATGTTGGTAGTGTTTGGTAATATGACAGCTGTAGCTACTGAACAGTACCCAGAAGTGTGGGTTCTTAATAAGACTGTCTTGGGTATATTTCTTTCAGGCTTCATAATAGTTTTCAGTGGTGTTTTATGTTTTGAAAGTTGAGGAGGTAGAAACTACTTCAGTTCAGTGGGCTAAGGGATTGAGTAGTTTATGATACAGATGGTGAGTCTGGAGTTTTAGGGAAGCGGCTGTGGGAGTCACGGTGTTGTACAGCTGTGCTTCTTGGCAGGCGATTGTTACTGGTTGATCACTGCCTATTGGTGTTGGGGTTATATCGGTTACTTGTAACTAGAATTGTGCTCAGGGCGAGGGTTATGAGGAGTGAGAGGAGGGGATATAGCTTGATTAGGCCTTTTTGTTCTGATCCTAATGTAGAGAATTTTATTTGAATAAGGGAGGTGGTTTTTGGTAAAATGCTTTCTAGTCAAATTAAGTCTCGGAGAGAAGATGCTGATTTTTGGCTTGTTGACGGGTTCCAGTAGGGTGTTAGGCGGTGTGTGAGAGTGGGAAAGTATCCTGAGGGGTTGGAAAACTTGAAGATGTCTGAGAAACACTTACATTTTAAGTTTTGAGAAGTAAGATTAAGTTCGAGGGCTAGAGTCAAGCCGAGGTTAGGTACAGCAAGGGCAGCTGGTTTACGAAGTAGGGTATAGGTATTTGAGGGACTGTTACTGGAGGAGTATTGTTGGAGATGATAAACCCCGTGAAATGCTCCCCGTTAATAAGCGTTTGATAGAATAGATTAGGAATGGGTTACTTTCACTCATGAAAGTTAAGGTGGGAAAGCGAGCTTGTCCGAATAATGCAAAGAAGATAATGACTACTGTGAACAGCTGTGAGGGATGTGGTGATTAGCGTTATCAGCAGGGCTCAGCTGTTGGTATAAGACATATTAGCAGTCTTGATAATTAGGTCTTTAGAATAAAATCCAGTACAGAAAGGTGTTCCTGTTAGGGCTAGGCTTCTGATAATGAGGGCTGTTGTAGTAAAGGGTATTGCTTTGACTAGGCCCCCTGTTTTTCAAATGTCTTGTTCATCCTTTAGGCTGTGAATAGTAGACCCAGAGCATATAAATAATATGGCCTTAAACAGGTGTGTGTGTGCAGATATGGAGGAATGCTAGATAAGGCTGGTTAATACCGGTTGTTACCATTATAAGGCCTAACCGGCTTGAAGTGGAGAAAGTGACAATTTTTTTAATATCCTTTTGGGTAAGAGTGCATATTGCTGTAAATAATGTAGTACTAGCTCCTAAGCATTGTGTTATTGTCTGAATAAGCTCATTCTTTTCTGTTAAAGGGTAGAAGAGGATGAGAAGGAAAATACCTGCTACAACTATTGTGCTTGAGGGGAGAAAGGCTGAAACGGGTAGCACCTTCTGTTGCTGAGGGAGTCAAGGGCGGAGACCAAATGGGGTGGATTTTCCAGCTGCAGCTAGTACAAGTCCTATTAAAGGTAGGTTTGAGTGGCTTAGGTCAAGTATGAAGATTTGTTGCAGATCTCACGCATGTAAATTAAACAGAAATTATGCTATTGATATAATAAATCCAGTGTCTCCAATAAGGTTACACAGAATTGCTTGAAGAGCTGCTGTATTTGTGTCTGTTCGTCTGTACCATCATCCGATTAGCTTGTTGGTGTACAGAAACACAACAGGTTTCTGTATATTAATTTGGTATCCTGCAATGTTACCAAATTCATTGAGCTCTAGTAGTTTTCTAGTGGCGTCTTTAGGATTTTCTATGTGTGGTATCATGCCACCTGGAAACATGACAGTTTTATTTCTTCCCCAATTTGGATCCCCTTTATTGCTTTTTCTTTGATTGCTGTGGCTAGGACTTCTAAATAAAAGTGGTGAGAGAGGACATCCTTGTCTTGTTCCTGATCTTAGAAGAAATGTCTCAGCTTTTCACCATTAAGTATGTTAGCTGTGGGCTTATTTATATGGCCTTTATGTCAAGGTATGTTTCCTCTATACCCACTTTGAGGTTTTATCATAAATGGCTGTTGAGTTTTGTCAAAAGCCTTTTCTGCATCTATTGAGATAATAATATGGGTTTAATTCAATTTGTTAATGTGGTGTATCACATTGATTTGTGGATACTGAACCATCCTCATATCCCTGCTTGATCATGATGTACGATCCTTTTAATGTATTCCTGGATTCAGCTGCTAATTCACTGAGGATTTTTGCATATATGTTCATCAGTGTTACTGGCCTGTAACTTTGTTTTTTCTTTGTCTAGTTTTGGTATCAGGGTGACGGTGGCCTCATAGAATGAGTTTAGAAGTGTTCCTTTGCAGTTTTTTGGAATGATTTCAGAAGGGTAGGTATTAACTCTTCTCTGAAAGTCCAGTGGAATTCACCTGTGAAGCCATCTGGTCCTGGACTTTTGTTTGTTGGGAGTTTTTAAATTACTCGTTCAGTTTCGCCACTGGTAATTGGTCTGTTCATGCTTTCTGTTTCTTCCTGGTTCAGTCTCAAGATTTTGTACATCTCTAAGAACTTGTCCATTCCTCCCAGTTTGCCCATTTCACTGTGTATAGTTGCTCATAGTAGTCTCCTTCTGATCTTTGTATTTCTGTGGTGCCGGATGTAACTTCCTCTTCACTTCTGATTTTTACTGATTGGGCCCTCTCCCTTTTTTTCTTGATTGAGTCTGGGTAAAGGTTTATCTATTTTGTTTCTCTCTTCAAAAAACCAGCTCTTCATTTCATTGATCTTTCTGTTTTTTATTCTTTTTCATTTATATCTGCTCTGATCTTCAAGATTTCTTTCCTTCTAAATGTGGGTTTTGTTTATTCTTTTTCTAGTTCCTTTGGGTGTAAGGTTAGATTGTTACAGATTTTTCTTGATTCCTGAGGTAAACTTGTATCCCTAAAACTTCCTTCTTAGAACTGCCTTTGCTGCATCCCATAGATTTTTGGATCATTGTGTTTTTGTTTTCATTTGTCTCTGGGTATTTTTTTTATTTACTCTTTGACTTCTTCAGTGACCCACTGGTTGTTCAGTAGCAATTATTCAGGCTCCATGTGTTTGTGCTTTTTGCAGTTTTCTTGTTGATTTCTAGT